GGGTTTGATTCTCAGCCGACCAAACGCATGGAACTGGTCCATGGCTGGCACTCGGCACCCCTCGCTGGTTGGATGTCAGTGCATGCAACTTCACAGAAGAGGACGGAGCACAGGGATATACAGAAAGAAATGAGCGGGTAAGTACCGGAAGTGGTGAAGGCCTTTGAAACAAGTGCTTCGGAGCGAAATTGCGAATGGGTCCTCAGACTGTCACAGACTGTCACAGACGCATTGGGGATTCTTACGTGGCGGTGTCGGTACGTTTAAGCGGTGGTGATCTTCCGTGTCGACATAGAGTTTACGCCGAACCTCTAGAATATCAAAGATGGTTGAGTTACTACATGTATTATTGGGAATGAGTGGCTGTAAACGTCTGCTTCCAATCACCAGTCGATTGTAAACACGTTTTACCAATAACATCACTTCCACGACGTATGCAATAATACTTTTATTTGATTGTTACGGCCTACCTATTAATACTGTTTAAAAAAACTTATAAGTATAGAGATGAATGCCGTATGTGCACTGAAGAATGCAGTAACGAGGGGCAACGTCAACTCTGTTAGCTTGGTACTACGCAGTTTGCCCAGCTCTAAGATGCTGGGCAATAACGTAGTATCTGCTCCGAATTTTGTAATCGTAAGATCATCTTTCGCCACGAAGATTTGCGGTGGCACAAGACCATCTTAGAAAAAAAATGACGAATGACTACATCTACCACTCTGAGCGCACGAAATGTCATCGCTCACTCAGCACTGAAACTGCCATGCACGGTCAGACAGGAGAAGCACGAGCCACTAACTTTGAACCTGTGGGTTATCGTGGTGAATAACATTGTTAACGGCCGCAACACAGATTGGGCCCGTGGCTGAATGATGTGTTTTAAACGCGACGATAACGAAAATGGCATTATTGCTGAGGTGTAAACAGAGAACTGCATGCTTAGCACCACTATTCACTCTTCAAAGTCTTTGACCCCCTGCACGAACTGCGAAAATACCCTCGAACGTACTTTTCGGACCAATTCTTTTTTTTTTTTTACTTCTCGTCGTACTTGGAGAGCAGCCTGTGGAGATTAGAAAACGGATGGTTCTCGACTATTAGCATCGTCGTAGCCTTAGCATTCGCCGCTTCTTCCTTCGCCAACACCTCTCGCAGATCAGCGATCGTCAAAATTCCAGGGCCTGCTCTCCTTAACGATATGGCCGAGCTTGCTTACGTTGGTCTCGTCGGTTAATCCTCCAACTCAATCGGTTGGACTCCAAATCCCGTAGCATTCGGCTTTGGAACAACGAAAGTTATCGCGGCGTTTTCTGAATTCGCTTTAACCATCTCCAATAGTCCTAGTTGCTGCAATAATTTTGCTAAACTTTCTTCGTTTACGGAATGGCCCTGCACCGCATGCTATTCGGTTCATCGAATTAAGATAGAATTGATCGATGTGACTTTCATGAGGTTTGGACATGGTATGGCCCACTCGACAGCACTGGCGGTGACCAACTGTTGTCAAAATCGTAATACAACTCACCGTTCTCGATTAGTGATGATGGTTCGAATTCGAACGCGTTGTGTTCCATGTGATAGCCAAGACTAAGCTCGTAATTGTCCCTGATGAAAGTGGCTTTCATCGCTTGTGTTTCATTGTGACGGGGGTGCCAAAAGATAGGTACGTTTTACGTCAGTATACATGCAGTGTATACAGTAAAACTTTACATAATTTAGGATAGGATTGTGTTTTTGGTGCATGTAGTTCATCTTTCCACCGAAGTTGGGCTATTGCTATCCTTGGCAAACATCTGCGGCGAAACCCCAGCGCTGGTCATCGTACCAGACCGCTACAGAGTGAAGGTGCTCGAACGTCATATGTCTGATGGCGAATGGAACAGCAGAGACCCGAATCTAGGCTACAGTACGGGCAAAACACACACGCCGGCCCGGCAGTTGTGTTTGGTCACTGCACCGACATACCTCAAGGGTGTCAAATAATGACATCGATGATCGCCTTTGCACCGGAAAAACCAAGGCGACACATTCGACAACAAAATACATTCGGACAGTGAAAGGTGAAACCGTACGGTGTGCCTGACTCAAGATGATCTGGGGACCAACAAGTCGAATGACTGCCATACCGTTGTGCGATTCCATGACCTCACCTTCATTCTAAAACAATCCGTGTCACTGACAAGCAACTCAGCAACTACGTTCCTCAGTCGACTCGATGCTTCACTTAACCGACCAACATCCACAGTTGGAGCTTCATGATCCCGCCGCGAAGGTATCCGATACCAAGTGGAACGCACTCCAGAAGCTGATTCACCACGTGAAGAACTCGGACTTATGGACGCGTCCGTGGCTTGGGTGGGCTTTCGTGTACGCCTTCGTGCTGCTGGTATGTCTCTTCAACCGCCGAGTTTCGATGACGGCGCTGATTACCATGTACGCAAGTGCAAAGGATGTGACCTCAATTGTCGTCCTGGGAGCGCTGAGTCTCGGTTTTCTCGAGGATTTCGTTTGTGCCACGTACTTGGCGTTTACCTTGTGGCTGTTTGACATCTTGAAGCTGAAGATTCGCACTCAAACCGGAGTCCACAAGAACCACGGAGCTGCTCGATTTGTTACAAACATTGCAACATTCACAGTCTCGTGGCTGCTCTACGCCATGGTAATGATCCCGTTCTGGGCCGATTTGCTGCTGGTGCGTCTCCGAGGTATGCGCTTCACGTTCGATCTCGTCACAATGGCCATCGAAGAGAAGGACAACGTCAGCGCAGTCCCGATTTCGAGTGATGAACTTCAACAAGGTTTCGTCAATGCAGTACTCTTGGTGATACTAGCGACACTATTTGCAAGCTTGCGGACGTGGGCTCCGTGGATGGATATGACGTCGTGGAACCCAGTGTGTGGTATAACAAATCAAGTACAGTACAAACAAGTACCGAGTACACTCCAAGATGTTAACATGACCCAAACTTGTGCCACCCCTCGCCACAAGATCATAATTGAAGAACCGGTCGAGCCTGAGACGTCTCGTATGCTGGAGAATGACGAAGATATTCAAACTACCTCAAAGACTCGGAACTGGTACTGCAAGTACGGGATATCCATGATCATTGCATTGATCGGTCTTCCGATTGTTGCGGTGTTGGTTAGTAGCTCGACTTCTCCGCTTATTGCGTACTCGGCATTGAACACCTCGTTGAACGAGTTATTCGCACACGCTCTGCAACCCCGTCTGCCCAATATGAGTTACAGTTTACCATGGCCTGAGAAGTTCATCCACTCCGCCACTGAAGAGTACACGCTTTTCGGTGACAATACACTATACCGACGCACTACAGGATTCCACGGAGACATAGCGTTCGACGTCAACGTCTCTTCTGACAACCCACCTAATGTACTGGTACTTGTCATCGAGTCGTTTAGATTCCACGATTCACGGTACCTCGTCGGAGAAAAAGACCCATCGAACCTTTTTAAGGGCGCAAAACTCACAATCACTCCGAACTTTGACAAGTGGGCGCAGCGTGGAATTGCACTTCGTAATTTTTGGTCCAGTTGGAGAACAAGTCGCTCTGTGGAGAGTCTACTATTCGCGCAGATTCCGTACGACAGTACGAGTAAATCCGGGATGTCCGGAGGTAGGAACCAAACCAAACTATCTGGTTTACCACAACTCTTCACTAAAAAAGGGTACGAGACGTTCTTCACCACTGGATGCAAGACCGACTATGATGCGTGGGATTTATTCCTTCCAACTCACGGTTTTGATACTGTTTGGGGTCGAAACGAGATGATGAAGTTGGCTGAAAAAGACCTGGGAATTAAGCCTAGCGAGTGGTATGGCGTTGAGCACCGAGCGTTAAATTGGGGTCTACACGACGATTTGAGCTTCCAATTACTCGGTGATTTGATGGTCAACAAGACGAGGGAGCAGCGTGCGCGTATGGCTAACAGAGAACCGAAGAAGCCGATGTTCCTGACCCACTACACTATTTCGAGTCATGTTGACTATAAGCAACGTCCCAAGTGGTACCATGATGCTGTGAAGCCTATTTTTTCGGCGCTGTTTGAGGGTGAAAAATACGAAGACAACATTAAAAATTACCTCGAGATTCGATATTTTACCGACTTGGAGTTGGGGAAATTCATGGATCGCATGGACAAGAAGGGGGTACTCAACGATACTATCGTTGTCATCGTTGGCGATCACGGACAAGGGCCTGAATTCGGGAATGATGTTCCCGAAGATCGCGACGTATCTGCGACGCGAGTAGCCGGTACTATCATCGCTGAAGGACGTCTCGGTGACTCTGTTGGGCTTGTTATTGACGATGCGACGGAACAGTACGACATTCTGAATACTCTTGCAGATATCACGGGTGTTCCGGACGGCGGGTTCATCCAAGACGGCGTGGGTCGCTCCCTTAAACGTAAAATTACGTTTGGTGAGCGTGTTGTGTACAGCAATAATCCGACTCGGAAGATGTCGATTGTGCGAGGTCATCAACGTCTGCGTTACGATCGTGTGACGGACTCAGTGCTGCTACATGACGCCGATACGGATCACGACATGAGTACGGATCTGTTTCCGAAGCTTACAGCTAAAGAGCAAGCGGAGTGGCTTCGCTGGCGTGATAATGGACGTCGAGTGAATGAGTACTACGCGAAACGTTGGGAAAACGAGTGCTTGCTGGCTCCAGATTGCACGAATACGAGCGCATCGTAATGCTTCGATCTGTGAACGTCTGTGGCGCGCTCTAAACTTGTTTTCCTTGCCGCAACAGTCCCGAGTCTGCTTTTTTTTTCTTTATAGTTCTGATCCCTAAATCTTCATGTTGGCTAACTGGTACTCATACAACTTGCAACTTTTTTTTAGTGGTAAAACAAGCAAAACTACTGATAATTTTTTTTTTTTTTTTTTTTTTTTTTTTTTGAAACTATCGACTTTCCTGTGATGCTGTCCTAGATGCCAACTACGCCGTCGCGAGTGATTAGCGCGTGCTCTAGCACCGATGCCACGTCCGCCAGATTGTCCAACACCCTCATCAACGGAATGATGAAGTTCGTCGTTGCCTCTACACGCGACAGTCGACCTGCATCGGCGTCCCACTCGAAACAAACAGAGTATGGCACGCGAAGACGTGGTTCAAAAGCTTGGAGCGTAAGAATCGAACCCTGAAGTGTGGAAACACATTGTCGAGTGTTGCCTCCGACATCGTCACATTCAACACCGCAGAGGCACTGAAAAACCGATCAGTTGTACGCTCAATACTCTCCAGGTTGAGGCACAAGTTCTCGAAATTCGCCGTATACAGTCGCCACTGGTTCATGAGAGCCTCCAGACCTGTGCGCTCACCCAGATTGACGTCTTCAGTCATCGAAGAGTGCAAGAAGGCAAGTTGATTTTTTGTCACCTCGTTGACGAGGTTGTTCTCCGGAGTGAAGTCGGTGCTGGTCCGAGAAGGAACCACCTGAACACCGAAGCGAAAGATGCGAAAATATCCTGTCACTACGTCCCAAATGTCTTGCTGGCCTCCATCGCGGAGTTTGTTGCGTTGTAGCTCAAGGACAGGGATATCAGCGCGTAGTTTCTGGACTAATTGCTCGACCGTCTTGCTATAGTTGAGTTTTCTCTGGCGGTATCTAGCCTGGTTAGCTCGACATTGTTGGCGTCGACGCTCCGTCTTCAGTCGAATTCGCTTTTGCTTGGGTTGCGGTTGACCAGTCTTGAAAGGAAGTGTATTGGTGTTGTAGTACGAAGCCACAAAAGACTCAGCTTGCGTGTGTTCAGGAGCGAATCCCGATGATTGAATAACCACAGGGAGTGTAGGTAGCTGAGCGCGAACATCCGGGCGCTTGACTCCTCGCTTCAAGGGATTCGCTACTTCACCACTCCTCGCGATATCACGCTGGAAAACTGGTCGGACAATCTCGGTGCTCAGCATCGAGTAGCCACACATAAGTCCTTGCTGTTGTAGAGCGTCGGAAGAGGGAGGCGATAGCATAGTCTGCGTGATATTATGGTGGCTTGAGTATGTCAAAGCGAAATCGCGAATGAAAACCACGTAAAACAAAGACCACAAAAATTAGTAAGGTCCTTTACGTGTGTTTGTTAGCTATAACGCTGTAGGCTGTCTAACCGGATAGACTAAAACTTTACTTATCGCCAGATGGGGTCGGCATGTTTACACATAGCAATAGGTTGCTGGGCGAGACATAGTTATGCTTCTTTGTGGTGATGTCTGTGGGATTTCAGACGTGAGCCTGTGTGATTTTGATTCGTCAGGGCGACGGCGATAAAGTGCACCCTCACGCGTTGACGAACAATATTGCAGCATCGATTTGCGAACATGAAAGTGGTGGTGTTCCCACGTATGTTTTAGGGCTTTGAAAAGATTCGTAGTGAACGTTTCCTTGGCTCCTTGATAAAAAAGCAAGCTAAAACTTGCTTACAGAGCGAGTACGGCGTAGAGAAAGGAAAAATAGTAGTAATCGAGGACAATATTATATCTAGTGCGATGATTTCGCTCTTTCATTCCCATCTCTACGCCATTTGCAGAGATATATTGGCTGTGCAGAATACAGTTTTTTTTTTTTTTGCGTTCATATATATGCTTATATGCTTATGCTGACAGGACAGCTTTATATGACTGAACGCCTAGCCAGTGCTATTATAGCTGTCGGGGCTTTAATTCGCAAATGTCGCCTGAGTCCATAGTCCACAGGGTTTGGCTAAACGAACACAATTCTGTGTGTAAATCTTGTGACTGGCGGTCTTAGCAATGTGGTCTGAAGAAACGATGCGTAGTACATTAAACAACATTTTCTCTGAATTTCACTTCGCCATTCAATAACGAAGGTAGCCTCGACATATTCTTTAGAGTGACCCATTGATTCCAACCTAGTGCAATCAGTGGGGCGGGCCGACGGCGGTGGCACAACACTGGATTGGATTTGATGATGACAATGTTAAGACTGGGTTTTCTGCGATGAAGAGCAGTCATCCGTGACATTTTTTAAAGCAATATAAAACACAATGTTAAGCGTTGACAAATGCCAATAATAGCTATACGAAGGCAAAAAAGAAGGACTCGTTGAGTTCCCTTGCATTTAACGCACATAATACTGTTAAACGAATCCTCTCACAATTTTCGACATGATGTGGCTCTTCCAGCGTTGTCCAGGAGATGAAACGAAGCGAGGTCCAAACAATCACGTTAAGAAATAGGTTTCTCCGCCAAACCGTATCAGCTGATACAAATAGTAATTACGAGGTTTCAAATATTTTCGAATACCTTCTATGCTTTCCTCGAGCTAATTTATTTCGAAGGGTACGAGTAAATAACACTGGAAGAAGTCACTGTCCTCCCAAACCAAAGCATCGCCTCTAGTATTTCGCGCAAAAATATAATTATTTATTTACTTTACGGTAATTTAAGTACTTATATGTTTTGAGCTTGTTCAGAGCCAACAAATGAAGTTGATCTCTGTGGGTCATTTTCACAAATCCCATTTACACAACCAGAGACCTTCAGTTCATGGAACAGCGCATCCTTTGGAATAACAACAATCTGAAGAAAATTTGAATAAACGACGGGTAGATTACTTATGGATTGCTCAGTATTTACTTCCAGTGGAATAACGAAGGGCACTGGAACATATTTTTTGAACCAAAGGGAAATGAGTCTCGTATACGCGCTCTAAGGCACGTTGGCGTTCTGTAGCTATTGGTGTCATATAGGTTTAGTTTCGCAAGATGCTCCTGATCAGGCAAATGAGCAACCCCAAGTGTACAGGTATATAATAGAGTAGTGTGTTGCAAATACGTTGCGAATCCGCATCGGTTGAAATTGGTTTGATAGATTCCACAACGGCATGACACACATGGGCCGAAACTCGGGGGGAAATTTTGTGGTGACCCGGGTCACTGCCAACCCGTGATATTATCATGAAAGTAACTACACTGCCCGCCTAGTGTATGTATACGCACCCACGTTTGTGGATGTATCTATATCAATATTGAGAGTTGGTCACCACGGTTTGAATAATAATAACAATAACATAAATAACATATTATGTTATTTGTGTTATTTTTAGAAACCTCCCACATGTGTTAACACTAGAGATTTAGCAGTTTATGAGGGTTTTTGGCCACGCGTCATTATGAGTGATGATCAATGCCAACTGTTTACTAGTAGTGCGTCTTACTCCCTCGCTTCTCGATCACTTCTTGGCAGCGGCGCGGCATTGAATCGATCAGGGACCTAATAATCTTGAGCTCTATACTTTCCCCACGCATCTTCAATGGCAGCACGCAGCTCTACCACGCTGTTGAACTGGCGACCGTTTGAGTAGACACGCCTCGTTAGGATGGACAGCAATGGCCAGGCTCTTCCCCGCCCAACCGTTCACCCGAGCACTGGGAGCGCGTTGTAGCGCTCAACCTTTGCAGAATCTATGTGCAAAGATAATTACGCAATCCACCTAGAAAACGTTGTACGGGATAAAACAATTCAACCGTTCAACCGCAGTTAAGAACGCCCCTCATGTACGTGTGACACCCATCAAAAAGTTGAGTTTACAATCGACTGGTGATTGGAAGCAGACGTTGCAACCGCTTCTGACTGGAGTGTCATTATTTCCTTCAGATCGGAGGGTCGATCGAGTAGCACCTGAACCAATATATATGTACTGTATGCAATGGCAGTAAAGTATGGAATATAAGAAAGAAGTTGACTATTCTTATTATTAGTTTTTTTTTAAAAAAATCTTTGTTTATACAATCAGATGACGATAACACCATCACTCTCGGTGAAACTTCAATGAAGTGTTGGCTCCAATAACTTCTTAGTCAGTCAGCATCAGTACATGCACGTTGGTGCTTGGTCTTGGACATCTCACTTTCAAATAAGCTCCAAGAGCACCAAGTCTCCTCTCAACACCAACTCCCTCTTATATCATGGCGACCACCAAGAAAACAGTCCTCATCACGGGAAGCACACGC